CCGCCCCCCCGCCGGTCCCTACCGCACCCAGGGAGAAACGGCCAGAGAGCAACCGGGTGCCCGAGCAGCTGGAGGAGCGGAGGGAAGAGGTGGGTCTGCGGCAGAAGCCGCCCACGGGCCGCAAGATGCCGCCCCCCCTGCGGCAGATGAACTTTGTCTTTCCCGAGGGGGTGAAGGAGACGGACATTTGTGACCCCCCGCTGGCTGGCGGCAAAGGGGAGAGGCCGGCAGCCGAACGGCAAGGCCGGCGCGTGGCTCCCTTGGCAGCCCCCGAGGACTCGCTGGCGTCCATCCCCTTCATTGGTGAGTCAGGGCGGCTCACCGGCAGGGGGGGTGGCTGCCTCCAGGAGGGGGGTTTAGCAAGTCCCGTGCCAGGGAGGGCATGTTTTGGGGACAGGGTGCATTGCACAATTTCAGAGCATCCATCCATGGCCGGCGTGGAGACGGGAAGGGGCCGTGCCAGCAGCACCTGCAGCGTCCCGCACCCCGCAGTGTCCCGCACCCCTCTGGGCATGCTGTCCCCGAGCAGGGCTGCAGGCATTGGCAATGGGGTGCCAGGGTTTAGGCTCAAGCGGCCTCATCCCTCCCTCTGTTGTCCTGCACCCCCTGCCCAGCCCCTGGTACTTCTTACTGGGCACGGCTGGGTGTGAACTGGAGCCCTGCATGCTCCTGCCCTGCTCTGAAGTGGGGACAGGGACGTGTCTGGGATGACCCACTCCCTGTCTCGCTTGGGACCTCCCTGTCCGGCCACCTCAGCCTGTGGGGACCCAAATAGGTCTGGGGGAGCCACCAGCTCTGCCCCCTCCCGCAGCGCAGCCTGCCCCGTGCCTGCTTCCAGGGAGGGACCCCGGGGCTGGTTGGGGAGGGAAGGGATGGGGTGGGGATGGGGGGAGCCGCAGGGTTGCTCTCCAGGTGCACCGGCGGCTCCTGACTTTGCTGGGGGTGGGAGCGTGTCCCCCAGCCCAGCCTGGGCACCTGCAAACCCATCACCTGCCAGAAGTGCTGGGGGGGTCACAGCAGGGACTTCCCCTGCCCTGTCCTGCCCCAACCCCTCCTGCAACACTGCCCACCCCTCTCGCAGACGAACCCACCAGCCCCAGCATCGACCTGAAGGCCAAGCACGTTCCTGCCTCCTCGGTGGTCTCCAGCGCCATGAACTCGGCGCCCGCCGTTGCCACCAGCCCCTCCTCGCCCACCTTTGCCTTTGCTCTGAGCCGGCACTACTCCCAGGACTGCAGTAAGTGCTGGGCAGGGGGAACGGTCCTGGGGAGCCACGTTGGGGGGGCAGGACGGGGAGGAGCAGCCCCCCGCCCTGGAGCTCTGCCCCGTGCCCGCTGGGCTGAGCAGCGCGTGCTTTGCCCTTCTCCCCCTTGCAGGCAGCATCAAGGCCGGTCGCCGCTCGTCCTACCTCCTGGCCATCACCACCGAGCGCTCCAAGTCCTGCGACGATGGTCTGAATGCATTTCGGGATGAGGGGAAGATCCTAAGGTAGGGCTGGACCTCCCCTCCCAGTCCCACCGCCGCGTGGCTCCCGTCCCCTCCCCACCGTCCCGCTCACGGGGGCTGCTCTCCCCCCCAGGAGGATGCCCAGCCGGGTCCCCAGCCTCCGCATGCTGAGGAGCTTCTTCACCGATGGGGTGAGTGTTGTGTGACGGTGAGGGTTGGGGGTCCTGGGGGTGCCCCCCGCCTGGGTACCTCTATAGGAAGATAGCCCGGGGTTGCTCCGCCTGGCTGGGGCACCGGTGGAGCAGGGGGTGCCGATGGCATCACCCCAATGGTGCCCTCCGGTCCCCCCGCAGTCTCTGGATAGCCTCGGCACGTCTGAAGACGCCCGCTCCAAAAGACACTCAACCTCCGACCTCTCGGACGTCCCGTTCAGCGCCGTGAGGAAGGAGGGCTGGCTCCACTGCAAGCAGATCCTCACCAAAAAGGGGAAGGTAGGCGGGTGCCCCCCTGAGCCCGGCCAGCGATGCGGGGGGGACGCTCCCCGCCGCAAGCATCCCTGAGGTCCGTGCCACATCCCTTCTCCCCGCAGAAGGTCGGTGGAGGCATCCGGCAGTGGAAGCGCGTCTTCGCTGTGCTGCGCACCCACTCGCTGTACCTGTGCAAAGACAGGCGGGAGGCGGTGACCTGCGCCCCGGCCCCAGGTGAGGAGGAGCCGCCGATCAGCATCCGAGCGTGCCTGGTGGACATCTCCTACAGCGAGACCAAGAGGAAGCACGTCTTCCGGCTGACGACCGCTGACTTCTGTGAATATCTCTTTCAGGCAGAGGATCGGGAAGACATGCTGGCCTGGATCAAAGTCATCAGGGAGAACAGCAAGGCCGAGGGCGAGGTGAGAGCCACATGGGGCTCCCGGCTGCCTCTGGCTCTCCCGGCACTAACCGCCTCGGCTCTCTCCGGCTCTTTGCCTTGTGCTGCTTCCCCAGGCCAAGGCCGGCCCCTGAGCGGCCGGCCGGTGTGGGGCTCGCCCGTCCCGTGCCGTGCTCCCAGGGGTGCACGGGGGCTCATGGGTGCCGCGGCGTCCAAGAAGAGCGTGGCTCCGCCGGCCTCGGCTGGAGCAGGGTGCGCCGGGGCGCTCAGCAGAGGCGGCGTGGCTCTCCGCGTGCCGCAGCGGTGCTTCCAGGCAGGGTCGGCGCCGGATCTGCCGGCAGCATTTGGTTGTGTAGTGGGAGAGGAGCGTGCATGGCTCTGCCGTGGTGTGTTGTGTCTCCTTTGGTGGAGTGAGATCTGGCAGGGAGCTCCCTGCCTGTGCTGGGCATGGTGCCCACATGGTGCTGCCGGCTGCCGGGGCTGGCGCCGGGTTGGGGCTGAGCCCTCACCGGGCAGCCGTGGTCTGTGTAATGGGTTGCTCGGGTCTGAGATGGGGAGAGCTGCTCCCCGGGGCCGCGGGCTCCAGTGGAGGATCTGCAGGGCTGGATGTGCCAGCGCTGGGCTGGCTGCGCGCCATATCCCTGCGGTGCCGGGATGGCCTCGTTTGGTTGCAGCGTTCGTGCCGGGGTCACGGCAGGCTCCGGCCCTGGAGGGTGCGTTGAGCTCAGAGTGGTCTCTGGTTCTCTGTGGCACAGCCCCGCTCCGGAGGGTGCAGGCGCGGCGGGGCGGGCAGCGCCGGCACAGGGAAGGTGCTGCCGGGTCGGAGCACACGGAGCCGTCTGGGCACCTGCCGGGGCTGTGGTGCCGCCGGGTGGGCAGCATCCCGCAGGGATGGGTGCGTGTCTTTGGAAGCTGCGGGATGTAGCGGGTGCGCCTGGCGCGGGCAGACGGAGGTGTGCATGCTGCCAAGGGATGTGCCCGTCCCCGAGCCTCTGTGGCCGGCTCGGAGCCCGCATGCCGCCCTGCGCCATGGCAAGGAGCGCCGCAGACCGCAGCGGGGCAAGCGCTGGCGGGCACCGGCTTTTTCGGGGCAGGGGGGACCCGGTCCTGCCCTCTCCTGGTCCTGCCTGGCCCCGCGTGGCGCCCGGCAGAGCGTGGACTTGCCTGGGGCCTCCGGTGGATGCGCTGCTCAAGCTCTCCCTTCCCCTCTTCTCTCTGCCTCCCCAGGACCCCGGTTTTGCCAGCCAAGCGCTTATCAACAAGAAGTTAAACGACTACCGGAAAGTGAGGTACGGACCTGGGGGCGGTGGGCACGGAGACCCCCGAGCGCTTTATTCACCTCAATTTTAAAGTGATGGAGCAAAGCCAGAGCCTCCCTTGATGGGGCAGCATCGGAGGTGCCGGCTGCACCCGTCTTCTTCGCTTGGGGTGCCGGCGGGGTCCGGTTCAGCCAAACTGGCAACAAACAAAGGGTTAAAGCGGCTCAGTGCTCCCCAGGGGTCCCCGTTACCCGGTGTGGAGTGCAGCCCCATGGGCACGGGTAGGATGCCGGGCAGGCCGGGAGAGATGCCGGCATTTGCTGGGAGGTTTTGCGCCGGGCTGGTGCCCCTGGCCGTGCCCCGCCTGAGCCCCCCGCTCTCCCTACAGCCCCGCGGGCGCCAAGCCCGACTCCTCGCCCAAGGGCTCTCGTGGGCTGGGGATCCGAGCCGAGTTCCTGAAGCAGACAGGAACCAGCGCGCCCCGGTCCCCCAGGCAGGATGCGGCCGTCACGAAAGGTAGGTCACACCCCTGCGGCGTGGGGCACCCCGGCACGGCAAACCTGGGGGCTTTGCAAGGAGGGGGGGCCTCGCCTCAGGGCTGCCATCATGCCCGTCCCCGTAGGGCAGCAGGGATGCTCTTCCCATTTGTCCCGGCTCATTAGCAAACTGTCCTGTGGGTTTTTCTCCCCAGATGAGAGCGGCACCCAAAAAGCCCCGTGGGGCATCAACATCATGAAGAAGAACAAGAAATCTGCCCCCCGGGCCTTCGGCGTGAGGCTGGAGGACTGCCAGCCTGCCCCGGACAACAAGGTACAGCCGCGCTGGCAGTGCCAGCCCTTGGGGACCCCTCACGGCCCCGGCATCTCCGTCACCCCCTCCCTGTCCCTGCAGAACGTCCCCCTGATCGTCGAAGCCTGCTGCAAGGTGGTGGAGGACCGAGGGCTGGAGTACATGGGCATCTACCGCGTTCCCGGGAACAATGCGGTGGTGTCCAGCCTGCAGGAGCAGCTCAACAAGGGAGCCACCGAGATCAACCTGCAGGACGAGGTGAGGGCAGGGCGGGCTGCATGTCCCTGTCCCCATCCTTATCCCCATTCCCTATCCCCATGCCTCTGGGATGCTCTTGGGGCTGTTGTCCTGGTCCATGGCTCTGTCACCATCCCTGTCTCTGTCATCATCCTTGTCTCCAACATGATCATCATCCCTGTCTCCATCGCCGTGACCTTCCCTGGAGTGGCAGGGCCGCCTAGCGGTTGGTGGCAGCAGTGTAGGTGGCAGCTTGGGGACACATTTATCCCCTTGCATATCGCCACATTGCTGCAGTGGCACAGAGTTTTCCCTGGCAGATGCAGGGTGGGGATAGCCGTCCTGCTGTCCTCACGGCCACGGTGGTGCTGGCTGGTGTCCCCCTCAGTGTCGGTGGCCTGGGACTCCCCCGGCTTGGGGACTTTCTCCCACTGGTGCCTGGGTTTGCCTGGCGTGGTCTCTCTGAGCAGCCTCTTCTCTCCCCCGCAGCGGTGGCAGGATCTGAACGTCATCAGCAGCCTGTTGAAATCCTTCTTCCGAAAGCTGCCCGAGCCCCTCTTCACTGATGGTGAGTCGCTGCACCCTGGCCATGCACTTCCCCCCGGGGGCCATCGGGGCCCCCAAAGTGGCCACAGATGACCCTGTGCCGATGCCTGCGTGTCGATGGCCGATACCGGGCTGAGGCTGACCGGCAGCCCCAGAGCCTGTCCCACCCGTCGCCGCGTTGGGGACAGGTCCCCAGACCCTGCGACAGAACGAGCCAGTGGCCATGCAAGGCGAGGGGCTCTGTAGGCCCCCTCCTCACTGAATCCCCTGGGCCAGCCCTTGTCCTTGTCTCTCCCTGTCCTTCTGTGCCCCATCCCAGTGGGACCCGAGCAGCACCCCCAGCCCCCTCCCCAGCATCTCTGGCCGGTGCATCTGGGGGGGTCCCTGGTCCTGGGGGGTGCCC